GGGAGAGGGGGAGGTGAGGAGGCAGAGCACAACAGCCCTGGTCACTGAATGGGAGGGGACAGCCACTGTAGTGAACCCAAGGTAGGCTTTCAATAAGCTCACACCCTGGGCTGGGCAACCACACCAGAGTAATCCTCACCCAACGAGCCCCCTGCAGTGGAAGGGCCAGCAGTGATACGCATAGGACTGCCTGTCAACATGGGGCCTTGGGGTGGAGCCAGGATCCAAAGGAAAGTGACCTCAGCTGCCCAATCCCCCTAGCTCTGACCTGAGGCCCTGCTCATTTGGGAGCTAGGTCAGGCTGGGGAGGGGGCTGGTCATTCATGTCCCATCTCTGTTGTTGTTGTTAGGTCCCATCTCTAGCCCTTTTCAATTAAATACATATATCAGGTTTGTTCAACTTGGTCCTCTATTTCAGGGACCAGCCCCTGCAGGCTTCCCAGAATCCAAGTCCACTTCTTGGGTGGCTTCCACCCCCCACATCAGCACAATCCAAGTCAGCATGACCCAGAGAAGGGGACAAGTCTTTTGCAGTGATCTTGTCCAGAGCACGCTGATGATTTTGATTATCTGTCATTGTGGATTACCCACCTACACGTGTTTCTGATTAAACTCACCTCTCCCCTAACATGCACATTCAGGTGCACACTCCCTTAATCTTTCACTCTGTCGCTTCTCCTTCATTAGTACAGAAGACAGAGAGGCTGGCTTTATCTCAGGTGGCTGTACTGAAATGCACTTTTGTCTGGTCTGTTCTCACTGCCCCACACTGAAAGTTCTCTCTTTCTTCCTGCCTCTCTCCGTGTCACTGTCACCATGTGTCGATCTTGCCTCTTGTCTTTGGCTCTCCAGCAGCCGCCTACCCTGCTGCCTATGGTCAGATAAGCCAGGCCTTTCCTCAGCCACCTCCAATGATCCCGCAGCAGCAGAGAGAAGGTGAGTCTTCCAACTGGGGCTGCTGGCCCTCCCTGCCCCCATCCCCCCAAAAGGCTGCTCGCCTGGCCTTCAACTCAGGCACTTCGGTTGGAAGGTGACCATGTATGTGTTGTGTTTAAGAAGGTTGTGTGCTGAGACTCTCTGGCCCAGCACAGAGACACTCTTCTTGTAGGTGGCTCTTTGAACCAGAGCAGTAGACAGCCCAAGGGTGAGGGCCCAGATACAGAGCCCGGGGCCACAAGGTGACATCTGGCCCCACTCTCCATCATTTATCACTGGTAGAGGACACAGAGCATGAATACCGATCTCTCAGCCTGTTAAAATCATAGCCTTAAGAATGGCTGTGTGTGCTCCTTCCTGAACAAGGCCTTCAACCAGACTTGGAACAGAACCAACCCTGGAACCAAGTTAGGCATGTGTTTACCAGTGGTGGCCTTCTCCCTGCCCCGGGAAGTTTCTATGGAAAAGAGAGAGGTTCACTCTTGGGTTTTTTACTCGAAGCTCGACCCTCCACCCTCCCACTCAATTGTCCAGGGAGCTGATCCCATAACTGGGAGAGAGACGAGACTTGGAGAATGCAGTGGATTTGTGGTACTGGTTCTGATGGTTGTGGGCTTCAAGAAGGGAAAGGTGCACAAAAGTGTGGTCAGGAGGTGGGGCCCTGGGGGAGGTGGGGTGATGGTTAGGATTTGGCCATGGGAGAGAAAGAGGAGAGGTAAGCATGCTCATGGCTGGAGGAGAAGGTAGGATTATAGTTCATCCTACCAGGAGACTGTCCTCTCAGGTGAGCAGGAGAGACCACTGGAGTTCCCAGAGAGGACTCTGGGAGCAGGCAGAGCTGAGAGCATGACAGTGCTCCTGGTGTAGGCTCCAGTGGAAGCAGCAATTCCCGGAAAGTTCCTGGTGTGGGTAAGGCAGACATACCAGAGGGTCTTGAGATGGAAGGGATGTCATAGAGACCCTGACCCCAGTGTTCTCACACTCCAGAGCCTAGAGGTCCCCATGACTGGTATTAGCCATTTTGAATCTGACAATTATATGGTTTACTATGCCAGGAATAACAAATTCAAGAGGAATGGTATCACAGTCATCAGCAAAAAGAACATTTCAAGATTTATCTTGAGTACAATGCTGCCTGTGATAGGATAATATCCATATGCCTGCAAGGAAGACCAATTAATACCACTATTACTCAAATTTATGCACCAACCACTAAAGCCAATGATGATGAAGTTAAAGAATTCTACCGACATTTTTTTTGTCTGAAATTGATCAAATATATAATCAATGTGTATTAATAATTACTAATGATTGGAATACAAAGGTTAGAAACAAAGAGGAAGGATCAGTGGTTGGAAAATATGGACTTGGTGATAGAAATGATGCTGGAGATCATGTGATAGAATTTTGTAAAACCAATGACTTATTTATTGCAAATACCTTTTGAAAACAACATAAAAACTATATACATGGACCTCACCAGATGAAATACACAGAAATCAAAAAGACTACATCTGTGGGAAGAGGCAGTAGAATAGCTCAATATCATATCAACCAAAACAAGGCCAGGGTCAACTGTGGAACAGCCCATCAATTGTTAATATGCAAGTTCAGGCTGAAGCTTAAGAAAATTAAAACAACCTCATGAGAGCCAAAATATGACCTTGAACATATCCCACCTAAATTTAGACACCTTCTCAAGAACAGATTGATGGCAATAGTCACTAATGACCAAAGAACAGAAGACTGTGGGATGATATCAACATCATATAGAAAAAAAGCAAAAAGTCATTACAAAGACAGAAAATACCAAAATGGATGTCAGAAGAAACTCTGAAACTTGCTAAATCAAGTGGAAGAAATGAGGAAGTAAAAGAACTGAGCAGAACATTTCCAAGGACAGTTCAAGAAGACAAAGTCAAGTATGACGCTTTAATGTGCAAAGACCTGGAGTTAGAAAACCAAAAGGGAAGAACACATCCAGCAATTCTCAAGATGAAAGAGGGAGATAAAAAATTCAAGTCTTGCTTTGCAATATTGAAGAAGTCTATGAACAAAATATTGAATGATGCAGAAAGCATTAAGACAAGATGAAAGAAATACAGAGTCACTGTACCAAAAATAAATAAATAAAGGTCAATCTTCAACCATTTCAAGAGGTAGCACATGATAAGGAACTGAGGGTACTGATGGAAGAAGTCCAAGTGCACTGAAGGCATTGGCAAAAAACTAGGCTCCAGGAATTGATGGAATACAAATTGAAATCTTTTAACAAACTGATGCAGCTCTGGAGGTGCTCACTCATTTATGGCAAAAAATATAAGAGACAGCTACCTGGCCAAGCAACTGGAAGAGATCCATATTTGTGCCCATCCAAAAGAGGGTTCACCCAGTTGAATGCAGAATTCATAGAACAATATCACTGATATCACATGTCAGTAAAATTTTGCTGAAGGTAATTCAAAAATGGCTGCAACAGTACATCTACAGGGAACTGCAAGAGATTCAAGTTGGATTCAGAAGAAGACATGGACCGAGTGATATCATTGCTGATGTCAGATGGATCTTGGCTAAAAGCAGAGAATACCAGGAAGATGTTTACTTATGCTTTATTGACTATGCAAAGGATTTTGACTGTATGGATGTTGACAAGCTATGGATAACATTGCTAGAATGAGGTATTCCAGAACACTTAATTGTGCTCATGAGGAACTTGTACATAGAGCAAGAGACAGTCATTCCAACCAAATAAGGGGACATTGAATGGCTTAAACTCAGGAAAGGAGTGTGCCAGGGCTGTATTCTTTCACCATACTTATTCAATATGTATGCTGAGCACACAGTCAAGTAAACTGGATTTTATGAAGTAGGATGGAGGAAGGATTCATTAACAAACTGTGATATGCAAATGTTACAACCTTGCTTGCTGAAAGCTACGAGGACTTAAAGTACTTACTGATGAAGATCAAAGACTACAGCCTTCAGTATGGATTCCACCTCAATATAAAGGAAACAAAATCCTCACAACTGGATCATAAATAACATATAATAAATGGAGAAAAGATTGAGGTTGTCAAAGATTCCATTTTACTCGAATCAACCATCAACACTCATGGAATCATCAGTCAAGAAAATCTAACAACAGATTGCATTAGACAAATCTGCTGCAGAATACTCTTGAAAGTGTTAAGGACCAGATATATTGGTTTGAAGACTAAGGTGTGCCTGACCCAGCCATGGCATTTTCGATAGCCTCATAGGCATGTGAAAATTGGACAATGAATATGAAAGACTGTAGATGAACTGATGCATTTGAGTTACAGTGTTGAATAAGAATATTAAAAGTACCATGGATTGCCAGAAGAACATGCAAATTTGTATTGGAAGAAGTACAGCCAGAATGCTTCTTAGAAGCAAGAATGGCGAGATATCATCTCTCATACTTCAGACATGTTATCAGGAGGGTCCCTGAAGAAGGACATCATGCTTGGTAAAGTGGAGGGTCAGTGAAAAAGAGGAAGACCCTCAACAAGATGGATTGGCATGGTGGCTGCAACAGTGGGCTCAAGCCTAGCAATGATTGTGAGGTTGGCACAGGACCAGGCAGTGTTTTGTTGTGCATAGGGTCACTATGAGTTAACTTGATAGCACCTAACAACCACCAGCACAGTGGCACATGGATACAGCCCTCTAGTTTGCATGCATTCAGCAGCTCTTAAGGCCTATACCATCAGATCTCCCCAGACCCTGGCAAACTGTGCTACAGGAACCCACCTGGGTGCTTCTCCTCCACAAGCCTCATATATGTCAGATCAGAGTCACAGAGAGCTGGGCCTAAATGCCCTACTACTGAGCACCCGCTGGATTCCAGTTGACCCACCCTCATCCTGTGGTCAGTTCCCTGCAGCACTTTGATCTCTTGGCTCAGGTTTCTGTAAACCCCCAATACACAGGCGCACGCGCACACACAGCCAATGCCGCCCTGACTGACAAGCACAATAGCCCCTAGTGCTGGCCCGGTTGCATCTGCACTGCCCCCAGGTGTCTGACTATGAATCCCTTTTAACATCTTCTCCCCTGCATTTCCTGCTCCGGAAGACTCAGTCTCTCCTTGGGGTGCTCTCCCCCTTAATATTTCCATTCCTCCTAATAGGCTGAACCACCCTAGGAGAGCAGGGAGTGGCGAGGTAGGATGTGAACCCAGACAGCTACAGAACCACACTGCAAACAAGTGCCAGGATGTGTACTCTGGGTTGTTGGTGAAGGCTTTGTTGGGCCTCCGAGGATCAGGAGATCTCCAGCACATAGACTTGGCACATAGACATTCTCGGGAGGAAAAGTAGCAAGACCAAAGGCATGGCTGCTGCAAAACATGCAGTGAGCCTGTAAGGAGGGGAGACAGACTGCTAGGTGGGGGGAAGTCAGCTGGAGTCAAGTTCAGGCCATGTCTAGAAGTGTTGTAGGAGGAAGGGAGGAGAGAGAAGGCTGGATACTTCAGCTATGCTAGCAGTTTGTCTCTACATCATGGTCCTTGCCAGCTCATGTAAAGCCAGTGACATACAAGGCCACATTGGATGCTGGGGAGGACTTTCTTATCGGCATCTCCCAAAGTTGTCTGCCCCTTGGGTTACCCTCAGGATGACTCGTCTTGGCTCTGCCAGGGCTGCTGTGTGGTGTAGTCACTTTCTGTCTCTGAAATTCTTGTTTCACCATTTCTCAGATGGATGGGCTGGACCAGATGATCGCTATAGCCCTGCCAGTCACACTATCTGTGTGTTCTAGAATCTGTGAATGAGGGAATGCAGTAAGGGATTGGGAGTGGCCAGAGGAAGATAAGGTGTGCTTACTGGTGAAGGACAAGGGGCTAGAGGAGAGAGAACAGATAGCATCCATGAAAAGGAGATTGTAGAACTTGAACTTGGAGTGAGGACCTGAACTCTAGGCAGGTGTCAGGATGGGGTAGAGTAGTCGGGAAGCCCTGAAGATTGCGGTTGGGCGTAAGTGGGAAGACAGATAGGAAAAGGGAAACACCCTTTGCCAGTGTGAGTGGAGAGAAAACCTCTCCAGACATAAAGGAATAAAAGCCCCAGAGCAGACTCAGGGAGCACCAGAAGGGAGGCCAGAGTGCTTCCAAGAGGGGATAAGAAGGGTCTCTGGTAGGCCTCTGGCAGGAAGTAGAACTTCAATTGGGCCAAAAAGCTGGTTTCTGCCTCTAGGAGACTCCCATCTATCTGGCACCATCAAGGAGCACATTCACAGAACAAACAGCCAGTGAGGGCATGGCATGATGGCAGAAAGTGGGTGAAAGGAAGGCCATTGGAGCAGGGGGATCCAACCTAGGGCACTTCCGGAATGGGTACAGGAGCACACTTGCGTCGTCAACTGGCAGAGTACCTGGGAGACAGCTGTTCAGGGAGGGTGTGGCACATCTGTAAGGGTGGGCAGATGGGGTAGGGCAAGCTTTGGTGGTCAGAGGAGTGTGTGCTGTAGATTGTGAGCCTCCAGGAGTGGAGACAGATGGAGTGAGGGGCAGGGAAGAAGAGAAAGCATTGCAGCTGAGCCCCTGCTCTAGAGCTTGGTTGTCTGGCAGCCTCCCCGGTTCTGGCCATGAAAGCTGAGTAGCAACCCACCTAGGCATCTTACAGACTTCACTTCGAAGGCCCTGCTTAGGGTTCCACTAGCCTCTGTTCAGAAGCCGGGCTCACACACACAACTCTAATCAGTGCAACTTTGTCATTTCCATGTCCACCACAGATTGGCAACTATCACTGAAATGCCCACAGGTCACTTTCAAAGGTTACATTATAATCGGCATGCTCTTTGTAAGACGGCAATGAAGCCTGGAAAGATTTCTGGAATATTCTAACCATGTCAAAAGAGAAATGTAAATCTTTAGCTATTTGGAAATTTCGGAAGTCCAAAGACCTCAGGTACTCAGGGGAGTTAAGGATGGAGAGGTAGAGAAAGAAGAGAACACAGGAGGATTATGGAGGAAGAGGGCCTGGGTTCATATCCTAGTTCCAACCCTTACCAGATGTATGACTTTGGGCAGTGACTTAACCTTGCTGGGCCTTAGTTTCCTCCTCTGTGATGTGGGAATGACTCAGTACATGTGAGAAGTGACTCAGTACATATAAAAGTGCTTAGCAAACCCTGACACCTAGTTCATGGCATTTAAATAGCCAGGCTGTTGTAAGAAAATGGGTGAACCTTTCATTTAATGAGGCTCATAGGTGCCTTGCTAATCTTTGAGCCTTACTGTGAAGTCGTCCCCGCACATCTAGCCCTGCACACCTAGGGAGATAGGGGGCAGGATAACTTTTGGGCTGGACTGAGTGGGAGATAGGGCGCAGGTGAAAGGCACAGTAGGGAGTACATTGAAGGAGTGGCCAACATGCCACCTCATAGGGATTCAGATCCAGAGTCCAAGCTGGGGTCTTTGGGAAGCTGAAGTGATCCTCTCCTCTCAGCTGGTCCAAGACATATGGCTGCCCTGGTGATGCTCCCTGCCCTCCCCTGCCTAAGCAGGGGCCAGACAGGAGGGAGGCTTGGCAGGCAGGTACGCCCAGGTCTGCCAGCTCCTCCCTCCCAGGACCTCATCTCTAGGGACATGGCTGATCACACTTTGGCACAACCTTGACACGTTCATCCCGTTCTCCAATCAACTCTGCTCCCGGAGCCCTACAATTGCCAGAACCTTAAACTAGACCCATTTTGCAGACCAGACAACAGAGGCACAGAGAGGTTCAAGGACTTGCCTGAGCGTAGAGCAGAGACCAGAGCTCAGCACCTACCACTCTCCCTGGGCCACCCTCTGATCTTGGATGAGACTCCCCCTCCTAACCTTGCCCCCACCCCTCCCTGCTGCCGCTGCCTAACTCGCTCACCTCTCCTCTGTCTCTCTCTTTCCCCACCCTGCCATCCCTTCCTCCCCCGCCCATCCCCTCCCCCCACCACAGGGCCCGAGGGCTGTAACCTGTTCATCTACCATCTGCCCCAGGAGTTTGGGGACGCTGAGCTGATGCAGATGTTCCTCCCTTTCGGTAATGTCATCTCCTCGAAAGTGTTTGTGGATCGGGCGACTAACCAAAGTAAATGCTTTGGTGGGTAAAGATAACAAACCAATTAGCTTCACCTAGGACAGGGTGGTGCTTGCGCCAATGTTCCGGTGTCCAACTGCTTTTAACCTGCTCCTTCACATCGTCCCTCACTCCCTCCAGGGTGCTTCCCCCCAGCCTCCACACTCCATCTCTCGCACCCTCTTCTCTCCTCTACTATTCTTTTTGCTTCTTGGCTTTCCCTGCCACCCCTACCCTGCTCCTCAACTCCCAGGTCCCAGACCAAGAAATGGTATTCCCCCCCCACCACCACCCCAGTCCAAAGGCCTGATGAAAAGAGAGACGGAGTGCCTTGGGCAGTTAGCAATGTCCTAACAACATCTACCCTCCCAGCCGCCCCTCTTCAATTAGAGACCTGAGTGAGTCCCAGGGTAAAGAGCCCAGTATGATACAGGGGGTGGCAGAGTTAGCCCAGCCAGGCCCCCACCATACCTGCCCCATGGCCCCTCCTCTGTCCACCTCTCTTTCCAGTCCACATCCCCCTTCTCTCTCTCCTTCTCTTTGTTCCCCTCCTTCCCACTCAGACCACCAAAGATGGGCATTGTTGAGGAGTCAGGACAAAGACTGGTCCCTGCCCTCAGCAAGCCAAGGTCTGAGATTAGCTAAAATCACATGTACACCACAGCAATGAAATTCACAAGGCACCAAGTAGTGCTGTCCTAAGGAAGGCCAATTGATGTAAATAGACACTTCCCGGCAAGGAGAACAGAATGGACAAAGGCTTGTGGGCTGGCTAAGAGTCCAGGCGCAGAAGGCTTGGGGGAAAAGGGGCACTAGTTGTGAGGGTGGGTCTGAGTTGGGGAAGGTGTTGACCAATCAGATGAGGAGGTTTCATTTGATGTAACAAACTGCAGAAGGTGGCGGTAGGTTTCTGAATGGAGAGTATTAGAATGAAAGCACAGCTTCCAGGGAATATACCTGAAGGCAGAACAAATTAGATGAGAGAGGGAGGCAGAAGCGGATCTAAGGTATGGCAGGTGCCCTGGGTGCCACTTGAAATGGGGGAGGGTGCCACTGAGCAGTTTCTATTACAATTTCCAGGGCAAGCTGATAGAGGTCATTCAGCAATTTAAAATGAATTGCCATAGGCAGGAATTCCATAGATGCTCCTCTGAAGGGTGAACTTGGGAGGGTCCAGTAATACTTACCAGATAAATATTGATGCCCAGTTAAACTTGAATTTCAGATAATCCAGGAATACTTTTTTTTTTTTTTAATATAATTTTGTCCCATTCAATTTTGGGGTTATATTTATGCCGAAAAATGGATCCACTGCTTATCTAATATTTGAATGTAACTGGCCATCTTGTGCTTTAGTAGCTAACTGTGGCAACTCTCTACCTCCTCCTGGAATTGATCTCACCCTCACACCTATCCCCTCCATTCATTTCTGGTGCCTCTTCCCTTCTCCCTGCACCTCCATCGGCAGTCCCTTCCAGGACCAGAGTCACTTACAAGGCCCCGAGGTTTGAAGAGTGCAGTCCCAGTGCATTAGCTTCTTAGAGCTCAGTATTTCTAGGTTGGTCCTCCAATTTGGGGGCTGTGAAGAGAAAGAGTAGGAACATGTGTCAACTGGGAGTCCAGATCACAGAGAAAGTACAAAAAGTATAGAAGTACCAGGAAGCACATGTTAAAGGGATATCAGTTTGGAGATCAACTCTCCAGAAATGTGAAGAGCTTGAGTTTTCAGATCATGTTTCCCAAAGTAGTCAAGACCCTTCTGGCTTGTAGCAGCTGCCCCAGGAAACATGTGGGACTTTATTGGCACAGTTGCCTCCACGGCTCCGTTGTCTTTAGATTTGGGGAAGAAAAGCAACAAGCAGGGTTACAACTGTTGGATGTTTGTCCTTACAACTTGCAGTTACATATGTCAAAACAGCAAACTGGGAATCAGTTGCATCTAGTTTTAAATAAACCTCAAATATACAAATCAGAAGGAACCTGCTAAGAGCCCAGGGAGCAGACACAGGTTCCAGCCACAGCTTGTGAGCATTCCCAAATTTGGAGGCTGATGACATTCCTGGTGGGGTTGCCACCCAGTTAATCCAAGTCATTTCCTTACAGTCTGCCCCCCTTTGCCATTATTATTGTTGTTGTTAAGTGCCATCGAATCGGTTCCGACCCATAGCGACCCTGTATAGGGCTTCCGAGGAATGACTAGTGAGCTTGAACCACTGACCTTGCAGTTCAAATGGCTTTGCAGTCTGGCACATTAACCCACAGCGCCACACCAGGTGCCACTGAATCAATTTAGACTCATAATGATACTATGTACAACAGAATGGAACACTCGCCATTAGTCCATTTAAATCCTCCAAGTTTTTAAGAAATTCTTTCTATATCTCAATTCAGGCACTCTCTTCTTGAACATATTTCTAGTGCCAAACTTTCTATGACCTTGAAGTAGGAAAGCTCTTCCAGCACAGGTCCAGCTTAGCCAATCCTTAAACCACCTGAGTTCTCACTCTTACTCTGGCTACTGGGCCTTCTGCAGCTATCCCAGCAACCTCCAGCACTCATGGGCAAGTCATTCAACCCTCTGACCTTCAATTTGTTTGTTAATGAAATGGGGACTGTCACAGCCATCCCTTAGGGCTGCCATGAGGATTTACATCAGATGGTACCTGTGAGGAGCTTGGTCTCTAAAAGTGGTATCATCTCCTTTGTACCCAAAAGAAAGTGTCGTTTTTGCCATAAGAAATGGTCCTGTGTTAAAGTGAGCCCCTAAAGGCCGCACTCAAACGTTATAAGCAGAAACAGTCCTACAGAGGTTCATGTGAGTGTATAAGCAACTTGAATTGTTCCTCCGTGTAAGAAGGAAGGCTGGGCTGTCAGGAGGGCTGGGACCACCAATTCTCCCATCATGGTCTGGGAGGTGGGAATTTTCTCAATGTGAGCAAACATAGAGGTGGGGGGCTCTGGGAGAAGGAAGACAGTCCTGCAAATTGGAAAGATAGGAGATGGTGCATTGGCCTTGCCCCTGGTGTAAGGGATAGGGTGAGGGTGACAGGTATAGTCTGTGAGGGTGGAACATATCCTTGCCCCAACAGCTCACCAATTACCAATCAGAACTAGTGGAGAAAGGGAAGTTCCCTTGAGCCCCCAAACTCCCCTGCAAAGGCTGGGCCTAGTGGTGACTTTTTCCTTCTCTGGGTCCTCCTCTCTCCCTAGACTGGCCCCTTTTATTTTTTACTTCTCCTCCCATATTTTCTCACCTTGTGTCCTGCAAAAAGAGAGCCCCCAAGCCCAGGTGGCAATGTATAATTGAAGCCATGATGCCCATGAACAAGCAGGAGAAGGTGGTCCTACATGCCACTCATGGTTGGGCTACCTTGTCGCCAGCACATGTAAACACAATTCATACATCTGACATCTGCCCTGGACTCATCAGAGAGACCAGGAAGGGATGAGAGGGGCCGGGTGAAAGGATGACTGGCAGCTCATCTTCCACTGTGGATAATCTGAAATCTTTGCTATTGACTTTGATACAGAGATTTATATAGAGATTGGCTATGTTGGCCTGAACTGGACTCTGACCAATTTCACCACACACAGGTACAGACACACATGCATACATATACATGTATGTGTATGTACACCTTCATGACCCCCCCCCCACACACACACACACCATCTTTGATGCCATGATGGCTGCATGAGCAAATGTGAGCAAAGCAGGGAGGAGATGGCAGAATGAGAAATGAGGCTGAGTGGAGGCAGTGTCTGGGGACGAGGTAATAAAAAGGGTGTAAGAGTCACTCAGTAGGGAGAGCAAGGGAAGGGATGTTGGGAGAACAGAATTCACAGGTAGGCCCAAGATACCATGGACAATTAGCCGAGAAAGCAGCCTCCACATTGTGTAGTATCTGGTTGGACCGCTATCCCTTATGTATCTCATTGCCATTTGGGGACACACACTCCAACTGAAGCACATATGTACGTTGATCTAACCAAGCTTAGTTTCATATATTTTGCAGTATCTGACCTTTTAAAGTCAAATACGTTTACAAAAATACTAAGTTAAACAGCTATAAAAGTTTGCTTACTAATGTGGGAAGTGGTTGTTTTTTATATGGGGATTGAAAAAAAGTTTGTAGAAAAAATAAATGAAAAGGTAATGGCATTTTTCCAAGAACTTATTTAAGCTCCTCCTCCCCCTCATTGTATTTGCCAGTGTGCCTTGAACACACCAATTTGGGCCAGTTTGGGAAATGCTGGTGTAAAGTGGTATCTCTGTAAGCAGATGAGATCCAAAAAGCTAAATTTTGGGACATGACCCATACTTATGTGGGAACTGCTTGTTTCTGAAGGTAACTGGGAGCTACAGATGGTTTTATATCTGCTCTTGAGCTTTTGGGAGAAGCGATTCTGTGGTCCCTGGTACACAGATGACTCTCAGCCATTTTTTACCTCTAATAATACTAGTCTTGACTTGTAGTGTTAGAAATGTCTTGAGGGGCTTTTAGGGATACATCTTTTGGTGCTTGGTTATTCCAGGGCTTGGGCAGTGGCAACAAACCCTGGGCACAAAAACCAAACCCACTCCCATCGTGTCTCTTCCAGCTTACAAAGACCCTGTAGGATAGCGCATAACGCTCCATAGGGCTTTCCAAGGCTGTAAATCTTTAGGGACGCACATCTTTCTCCCTCCCCTCTGGCAGAGTGGCTGTTAGGTTCCTCTGATTCCTACCTATGGTTAGCAGGGTGAGCTTTAACCATTGCATCACCAGGACTTCTCCCTGGATGCCAGGTGGAGAGTTAATGCGAATCGAGTCTGTCTGGATGCCCCGGTGTCTATCCAGAAACCTGGCTGAGGACCGGGAGCTGGGCGGAGGGTGGCGAGGACTCTGGCGTTGGCCCTCCCTGGCGGCCAGGCCGCACTCGCGAGGGGGGCGGCCCGAAACGCCGGTGGAGAAGTTCTCAATGGTGGTGCCGCCCCTCCGTCCCCCTGGCACTCCTCTCTCTCCCCAGGCCGGCACCCTGTGCCCTCCCGCTGCCAGGCCCCCTCCTGTCAGGGAGGACAGTGTCCAATAAACTCCTCCACCCGCAGGTGTGTCCGCCCTTTCCTAGCCACAGGAGAGGGCTGAGGTGCCGGGGCCGGCCGGGGCGGGGGGGTGGGCGCCCCGCCAAGCTCCGCCACGCCGCGGGCGCTCACCTGGGGGAGTGGGCGCCCTGGCGAGTGGCGCTAACCAAAGGCGAGGTATGGCCAGGCAGCCGGGGTCTCGGAAACGCCCGCCCCGGGAGGGGTCACATGCACGGGGGCTAAAGGGGGGCGCGGGCGCTTGGCCCCGCGGGGCGCGGAGGCCGGGTCGATGACGGGGCGGAGCCTTGAGGGAGGCGGGGCCGCCGCTGTCCCGGCCCCGCCCTCCAGCCCTGCCGACCTCCTCCCCCTTTTCCGCTGGGAGCGGCCCCGGGGTGGCCCCGTGGAAACCCAGGCCTTCGTCCTTCGTGTTTCGCCAGGCTTCGTGAGCTTCGACAACCCGGCCAGCGCGCAGACCGCCATCCAGGCCATGAACGGCTTCCAGATCGGCATGAAGAGGCTCAAAGTGCAGCTGAAGCGGCCCAAAGACGCCAATCGCCCGTACTGAGCGCCGGCGGGAGCGTCCCCCGGGGGAGACCAGGACTCGCACAGGTAACCGAGGACGGCCGGGGTGTGGGGACGGGGGTGCTTGAGAGGGGCACCAGACGGACCCGTCGTCTCCTCCGGCCTCCGCTTGTGCGGTGGACCCGCTGCACTCGGCTCCACCTGCTCCTGGCCCCGTGCCTTTGGGTAGACGCACCGCTAAGGTCACCCCTGCTGAAATGGGCATAGCCATCACCTTGTCGCAAGGCCTAGAGACCTAAGGCTTGGGATGAAGAGAGCATCAGGAATGAGGGAACTGTCCTGAGAAAATAGGGCGAGCCCTGGACCTGCGCCTCAAGGTCTACACTGGCAAAACTGTTTGCCAGAAAACCATGGGGTGAGCAGATGGCAAGTTCAGGCCCAGGAGCGTGTGGGGGCGGAACAGTCTCTGCGGAGGAGAACAGGAGTCACTTGCTGGGGCGTTCTCCAGACTCCCTGCTCTCTTCTCTTCCCTGTTTTGCCAAGAGGCAGGCAGTTTCTAGGTACTTGCCCCCTTCTTCTTGTTAAGTGCTGTCGAGTCGGTTCCAACCCATAGCAACAATGTATAGGGTTTCTGAGGAGCAACTGGTGAGCTTGAACTGCCGACCTTGAGGTTCAAACTGGTTTTTAAATCCAGCTCATTAACCCACAACGCCACTCTAGGAGTCCTAATTGTCCCTCTCCCCCCTCCAATTACCCATGCCTTTTCCAAGACAGTTCTTCTCACAGTCAGTTCGGACTCCCAAGACGCTGTATTGGGTTTCGGAGAAGCAGCTGGTGGGTTTGAACTGCCAACCTTGTGGTTATCAGTCCAGCGCTTATCCTACAACACCACATCAAAATTCCACCAGGAACCTTGCCCCAAAATAAAAATGGGTGGGCTGCATCCCTGAGCAGGGAATCCCTTACCCTGTCTACTTCACAGAGTAGTGGAGGGTTGATAGTGGTCACCTTTTCCTGCTTGGTCTGTGCCCTGCCCAGGATTGAAGACACATGCAGGATATGTGTTCCGAGCAAAGTGGCTTCCTGCGGGGCAAGCCTGACACCCCCTCTTCCAGTGCTCAACTTACAGACAGACTGGAAGTTCAGGAAGTCGTCAGGCCCTCCTGGCTCAGGTCTCCACCCCTTTGTCCCTCATTCATCCAGCCTGCCTTAGCAGCCTAGGTCTCCATGCAACTAAAACCCAATCAAGGTTAGAACCTTTATGTCAAAGAAGTTCCTAGATGAAAGGGAAGGAGGGTTTGCCATCTGGGACATTAAGTATGAAATAGTCCACAGGGTAGAAACCAGCTGTCAGTCACAGTTGGAGTGGGGGTTGAGAGGCGTAGCTTCAAACATAGAGTGGGTTCTTCCACTGGAGAAGACAAAGGCCTCTTAGAAGAACTAACAAAAACAGGCCTTCACGTAGTGCTCCCAGGGCACCAGATACTGTTCTTATAGAAACAGCCTGGAACATAGGTTGCATTCTTATTCCCATTTTACAGATGGAACACAGAGATTAAGTATCTTGCCCATCAGATAGTAAGTAAGGTTAAGAGCCATGTTCTTAACCACTCATGTAAGGAAAATGACAGATGCAACCCCCTGCTCATCTTGACCCTTACCACACCAGTGCCCTGAATGCCAGAGGGGCATTATTGTTGTTAGGTGCCATTGAGTCAGTACCGATTCATAGCAACCTTATGCACAGCAGAACGAAACACTGGCCAATCCTGGGCCAACCTCACTATTGTTGCCACGCTTGAGCACATTGATGCTGCCACTTTGCCATTTCATCTCGCTGGGGGTCTTCCTCTTTTTCTCTGACCCTGCACCCTACCAAACATGATATCCTTCTCCAGCGACTGGTCCCTCCTGACAATATGTCCAAAGTATGAGAGATGAAGTTTGGCCATCTTGGCCTCCAAGGAGCACTCTGGCTGCACTTCATCCAACACAGATCTGTTGGTTCTTTTGGCAGTCCATGGCACTTTCAATATTCTCCTCCAACACAATAACTCAAAAGCATCCATTCTTCTACAGTCTTCCTTATTCACCGTCCAACTTTCGCATGCATATGAGGTTATTGAAAATACCATGGCTTGGGTCTGGCTCACCTTAGTCTTGAGCATATCAGAAAGATGTTTACCTGTGCTTTATTGACTACGCAAAGGCTTTCGATTGTGTGGATCATGACAAGCTATGGACAACATTGCAAAGTACGAGTATTCCGCAACACTTGATTGTGCCCATGAGGAATCTGTACATGGACCAAGAAGCAACTAGTTATTCGAACAGAACATGGGAACACTGAATGGTTTAAAATTAAGAAAGGTGTGCTACAGGGTTGTATTCTTTCACCATACTTATTCAACCTGTATGCTGAGCAAATAATACGAGAAGCTTGGCATTAGGATTGAAGGAAGACTCATTAACATCCTGCGATATGCAGATGGTACAACCTTGCTTGCTGAAAGTGAAGAGGACTTAAAATATTTCCTGATGAAGATCAAAGAGCACAGGCTTCGGTATGGATTACATCTCAATGTAAAGAAAGCAAAAATCCTCACCACTGGACCAACATTCTTATCAACAGAGAAAAGATTGAAATTGTCATGGACTTCATTCTTCTTGAATCATCTATCAACACTCATGGAAGCAGCAGTCAAGATATCAAACGACGTATTACATTAGACAAATTCGCTGCACAAGACCTTTTTCAAGTGTTGAAGAGCAAAGATGTCAGCTTGAAGAGGGGCATGACGTTCACTAATTTGGGGTCAGTCTCAGAAACCCTATACAGGGTCGCTATGAGTCTGTACTGACTTGACGTCACTTAACAACAATAACAACACTCTACTAGGCAGTCCCCAAAAGAAACCTGATGTGACTCTGACAATAAAGTTATTTCAAGGCCTAGTTAGTGAAAGCACCAATGGTGCTTTCACATTTCCCTTTTCAAAACCATTAGAACTGTCATAGAATGTGGGTCCTAAGAAGAGATAAGGGGTTGTCTCAAGGCAGGCTGGGAGGCTGCAGTGAGAGAGGACTGTTCTCAGGCTGCCAGAAAGGGTGGGGTTCTCATAGAAAGCAGTGGAAAGCGTATGTTTACGGAGCAGGAGGCCTGAGTCACAGTCATAGGACTTGGAAGGACAAGACTTTAGTGACCATCTGTGGCAGGCTCGGAGTAGGGCCTGAGGGTATAGCCCCAGCCTGAAGTGGAGAGGTGCCAGGAGCAAGGGGGTATCCTGTCTTCTCTTCACCCCTACCCCTCTGGCTGCTTGGGCTTGTTATGTGTGCTAAGACAGGAGTTTCTCCAAGAGAGCCTGACCAGGAAACTGAGAGGAAGGAAACAAAGAGTGGACAAAACCGTAAATACGGCCAGGATCACAGAGCAGAACAGGCCACCCACTGCTGCCCTGCCTAGAGGTTGACCTCTAAGTCATCTGTTAAACCCCTGAGCTTGTTCAAGCCCGGGGAGGGCTTCTCAGCTGCCAGCACTGTGGTTCTGTGGTTGGATAACTGTCAGCACAGTTTTACCATGCCCCATGGGAGTTGAGTCCTGCCCTTATTGGGCCCTGGGCTTGGTCTGAGCACCACGGGCCTAGGTTCTAAAGGATTGGCCCATACCAGTCTATGGCTTTAAATCTGGGAGGCCTCAGGCCAGAGGCCCACTGTTTCTCCTGACCTGGCTGCTGGATTAGTTCAGCCTAGCAATAATTAGGTCAGTGCATTGGAGCTTCCCAGACTGGATTAGAGATCCCCCTTGCTCATCAGTGATCTCACTGATAGGTCCGGGGCTGAGCTCTGAGGCTCCACCAGAGGGTGGCCAGGAGGGATGGCCCACAGCTGCTACCATTGAAGAGAGTAGCCAGCTGTCCACAGGCAGAGTCCTTAGAGACTGAATGAGCCTGAGTTTGTTTGGCTCTGTGTATGTCACTGAGTGTGTGTGTGAAAAAGGCCCTTAGACTGGGCTTGGAGGGGAGTGCTGTGTGCTGTTTACGTTTGGATGTCTAGTGGCTAGCCAGGGGTCTGGATACTGAAGGGCAGCAGACAAAAGTAGGGAGAGGGACAAGGAGCCCAGCTCAGGGTGGAAATACCATGTGGGGGTGTGGGAGGAGTGGTCCACTGTGAGATGCTCAGGACTGATGCTGAGGGGGAAGGATGGGAGCTCCCCCATGGGTTCCTTAGTTGCTGCCATCCCAGCTGATGCCTAATGCCTCTACATTTCCATATTTTCTGAGGCCTCTTCCACTCTAAAGGGAGACTCCAGCAATTGGACATCCTGGGTGGGGTTGGAGGTACAGGGTTGGCATTTCACGATTGGGGGAGGGGGGTATGTGGTGGACCCTGGTCTGGGTGAAGGAAATCTCATGTTGGAAGAACAAAGAAACCGGCCTGGCTTGGCAGGCAGAGCAGGGGGCTATGGAGGAAGAGGCTGAGGAATGCTTCTGGGACTGCAGGTTGGGGCTCAAAATAGAGTTGCCCCCCACCCCGACCCCCAGCCACTTCACCATTTACCTACAGTAATACTTTAAAATCCTGGGCCTTCCTTGTACTTTCCCTAGGGGAGAGTACAAAGCCTAGATTGGAAGTCTGCACAGTGTAAAGCCCTGCGGATTGGAAGCCCTGCACATCTCCCTGCTGCTGCATGGACAGTTGGGGGTGAGAGATAAATTCATGGAGAGCCATGAGGAGGAGGTCAGGGTGGGGGCTCCCAAGTCCCAGGGTAGGGACAATGGATCCTGAAATGGCAAGGGTTGGAAAGACAACTCCAAGCCCAATATGTGATGATGCTTGATTGATGGAGCACCCATCTAGTGTGGTCAGAGTCTGGAGGGGTGCAGGGTAGAGAACGATGGAGTAGGCAGGAAAGGAGGTCAGCAAAGCACCAGTGACAACAGCAGGGACAAGCTCCAGAGCCACAACCCTCACCTCTCCTGTGTTTTTTATATTGCCCACTCTGTAGGGGATTCTACAGCCTTCCGTGGGGGCCTTTAATGGGTCAGAGCTATAGAGCCTTCTATCTAGGGGCTTCATGTGCTGGGAAACAGCCTCAGTGTGGTCACATGGGCCGCCCTGGAAGCCAGGTGATTGTGAAATGAAATCCCTAGTGCCAAGGTGTATTTATAGAATTCCAAAAACATTTCTTATTAACTGTAAATTTCAAAACTCAACATGTTGACTTTCTGACTGTTCGGAGGAAAGAAGGTTGAGGCAGACTGGCAGGGAAAGAATTAGATATCACAGTGGGCACTCTGGCATGGAGACACCCTGCTCTAGGGATGGTGGCCAAAGTGGGAACCACTGGGTGGAAAGAAAGAGCTGCTGTCAGTATAGATTGTCCTGTGGCAGCCAAGTGTTTCCCGGATGGATCCCACAGGTGCATCAAATCACCTTAGCCATACTCTGACCTATCCAGCCAGTCAGGGCCACCTTGACAGGTCGCCCACTCTTAGTCACAGGCCAAAGTCACAGAAAGCTGGGGAGGATAGCTTAGAACCTGGACGAGACAGAAAAAATCAAGGGTGACAAAAAGGAAAGAGTTTGCTCCCTGAGCTCTGCTTGCCAGCCAAGGTGGTTTGAGGGGCTGCTTGATTTTTTTCTGGCCCCCTCACCAAACCACCCATGCCCCCTTCTCTCCCCTACGCATGATGGATGCCCTTAGTGGCCTTGTGTGAGGTTATGCTACTGTTCACAGCGTTATCATGTGTCTGCATAAACAACCGTGCGTGTATGTATGTACGTGTGTGTATCGATGTGCCCATGTCCTTTGTCTACTGGCTTCCTCCATCTTTTGAGTTCTTTTCAGTTCTCTTATGATTTGACTGCTATTCTTCCATCTGAGCTTTTAGACTGATGCTGTGGTCTGGTGCTGTATAAATATTTTTCCTTTTAATTTTGTTTTAACTTCTTCCTTGCCCTTCTTCACCCTCAACCCAGATCCCTCTGTCCTCCCCCATTCCTCCCCCACCCAACCTGCCCCTGCCTCATCCACCCCTTCCTACCCACACTCTCTTGTCCTCTCTCTCTCTCTCTCTCTCTCTCTCTCTAGACATATATAAATATATATATATAAATCTTTTCTTCTTTTGTCATTCAATCAAATTCCAACAACCCAACCAGGGCCAGTCAAATCCACCACAGTCTCGCGCTGAGCTAGGAATAAAGTTCACGTAATCACATGAGAGTGGAGAAAACAGTCCCCCATCCGTAAGTTCAAATCAACTCAAAGTTCACAGTGTGACATGATGGCGTCATGTAACAAGGCTAAGAATCGGTTGCATGACAATTGCCGTCCAGTTTCGTGGAGGTGCTGTGATTGGAGCGTTTTTCTTGGATGTTGTATCAGTTGATGATTGGCCAGTCATGATCACACGTGCATTTTCTTGACTTTTGTGCTGCCACAATCTTTTTTGCTGTGCTCATTTTTGTTTCGTTCTTGGTGCTTGCAGTGGTTTTACTTTCTGTTGTTTGGTTTTTCTTGTTCAGCGTTTTTTATGCTTCTTTAGATGTCACATAGAGAAAAAAACAAAACAAAAGAACAACCAAAAAAAAAAAATAAATAAATCTAGGTTCA